TTCACCAAAAATTGGTTAAATGACGTGGGGCTTAAACATTTAGTCAATAAGTTTGAAGGTAAAGTATTTTGATTTTTAAATTAAAACACGAATAGGGAAAACCAATATTGTTTTTGATTTTTTTTCTTAATTACCCTATGAGTAATATAGAGTATTAATATTATTTTCTATAACTAAGTAGTCATAAGAACTTTAATTTAACTTTGATGTGAATGAAATAATATTTCAATACTGCACTTTTCATACGAGTTTTACTAACTTATTATTGAGGCGTTTTCTCTGTCTTACACATACGTGACAGTACATCTACGTCTACCCATCCGACACTTACTATAGCTTATTCATAGTAATTATTAGCAAATTTACATTTATCGAATTTGTAGATGCGAATATAAACTGTACTCGAGCGAAAAGTTTTGTTTTTATATGTTTGTTTTAAAACTATTTTATATATATTTTTAATTTTAAATAATTCATGTACTTAAAATACATTAAACAATTAAAAAATATGGAAACAAACTCTTATTTCAAGCACAGTTTATATTTCCCTCTAAAAGTTCGGTAATACGTCAATTTTCTCTACAATATTAACCATAAACAAACTGTAGTTAAAATCCGGTACGTGTAGATTTGTTATGTTACGAGTGTGTAATGTGTATAACACGCGTAGGTACGTCCCCTTAAGTTAAGTATTTCATATAGTTATAAACAGTTATTATTATAATACTACACAATATTAATTTTCAGAAGAAGAAATTAATGAAACTAATTTGTTGATGTTGACGGAATCAATGTTAGTTAATTTATTTCCAAAAATGGGTCAAAGGGCTTCAATAATAAATGAGTTGGAAAAATTAAAAAAATCAAATGAAGTAAATATGCCTATATTATATTATACAATGCCTATTTTTATAAATCCGATATTTTTTAAATTTAAATTAATTCAAAAATAAGTATTCCTCACTCTTAATGATTTATTTACTTGTAAGGCTACCCAATTTGAAAACGAAACTCCTATAACAATTGAATCATTGATGGACATGGGTATTGTTATACAAGAAAAAGGTAACACTAATAAAAAAGTGATAAAAATGTAATTTTCCTAACTTGGACTAGTTTATTTAATTGTAAAAATCATTTATATTCATTATTATAATTAAGTATAAACTACTCATTATAGATTTTATGTACACTCCAGATCCTTTGAAGACAGTTGTAATAGACGATACTACAAACACATCGGGTACTTATAAGTTATCATATTATTTTCCACCAATCATTTATTTAAATAATTAAATATTGAACTGTTTTAATATTATTATTTATATAAAAATAATAAATACTACCTACATAAAGTTACCCATATATTTTGTACCTAATTTGAATAGATATATCAAACCCAACCAAAAATCATAGAAGCATTTTTGATGTGTCAGATACTGAAGGTTCTGTAGATAATGAGCAACCTATAAATGGAAATTCTAGTAATAGTAGGAAATGTTAAAATAATTTTTTTATACTAATGATTACAACATTTAAGTTATAGACAATTTCATTAAAACAATATTGGAACAATACCAAGATGGTCTCTTTATACTCCAACATTATGTTTCAAATGGATGTTTAAATTCTAAATTGAGAAATAGACTTTGTGGAGTGTTAATTAAACATGAACTATTCAAATCTGAAGGGGCAAATAAAATTGATACGCTACGATTTTCAAAAATTGCAAAAGGTTCATATTTTATCTTTAAATTATTTAAGTGTGTGATATAATTTACATATATTTAATTTTTAATTGTAAGTATTAGACAAAAATATTTTAAATATAGATCATTCATTTTGTTAAGTACCTACTATCAATAATACCTATTACATACATATTTCAACATTTAATTATTTTTTTATGTAAATGAGAACTTAATTTTTGTTTTAATTTCTAATATAACATCAACCTATAAATATTTTCAACATCATTATTTTGACGAATCAATTTTTATTTTTATTATAATTTAAAAATGTATTTGTTAATGATCAGTTTTAGAATAAAATATAAGTATCATCACTGATACGTTAAAAAATGTTTGCCACAACATAAAGTTTATAACATGTTATTTTACTTAAACATAACATTCATAGTAAAATTATAAACTTTTTTTTATTTATTGAAGTTTTTTAAAAATAATAAATAGTACCTATGTATTAACACTGAAATGTCCATATTTTAGGTATAGAAGAATTATTCCCTTCAGAAACCCAACATGTTTATTTCATTCCTTATTACAAAGAAGGGAATAAAGTTAGCCCTAATAGAGGGAAACTTTATGATAAGTATTGCAATATCAAAAAAGAAATTAGAAAAATCAGTACACAAAATATTAATAAACCTTGTAATAAACAAAATGAAGTTTTCTCAAATGAAGAAGGTTATAATAATATAATTACTTTTCATTATATTAATTATAAATTAAAATGTACCCTTAATCAAATATTTTTTTTGTTTAATTTAAAGTATAACAACTAATTAGGTACCTACCCTATTTTTAAACTAATTTATTAACTATATATTTATATTAAACAGATATTTTAGATTCACTTGTTTGGTTAAAGCACAATATTGAACCGGAATTTAAATTATATCAGCTATGGTCAGAAACTGCTCATTATCGTTTAAGTAAACATACTATTGATAATAATGATAATCTTAAATATCCTGCATTAAAAAAACCAACAGGTCACATACTTGTAAGTTTAGTTACACAAATTATAAACAGTTTTCCTTTTATTACCTACCTATATAACTTTGTATGTGGGTACTTTTTATAACATTTATTTATTTATAATAGGTACCTACAAGTATTCATTTACCTAATATTACAGTACCTATATTTAATTTTAACAAATTCACATATACCTAGTTCAAATGTTTAATATTGAAAGATATTTTTTTTAATTATTCTATTTTAAAAATAAGTACCTAGGTATTGTATAAATAAATGTACCAATTAAAGATAACTATTTAATCCTATTTTAGATTAATATGGATTTTGATCATTTATTCCCTAAAAAAGACCAATGCCTAATCCAAAAATTTGACATTTTTAAAGAAAAGTTGAAATTATATTTAAAAAACAAAGATATTAATTTGAATTTGAATGAACAAAACTTGGTTAAGAAAATTTTAACACCTGATATATTGGGCAAGTTTTTATTATAATATCCGTATAATACTAACAATTATTATATAATAATATTAACTACCTACCTACTATAATTAATAATTATCATTATTTTAGGAGATGATGATTTAGCTGTAATTCAAATATTACCTTACCTATTCAAGCCAGTAAATATTAAAGTCCCCAAAAAATCAACAACTGATGGGAATGTTTCAAAGTACTTAATGAGGAAACCATCAAAACTGGAACAAGCTAGTGCTGTCATAGTCAACATTACCGTAAGTTTAAAATAATTTATTAATTTACTTTATATTTTGGTCTGGAAAAGTTTAAGGGCAGGTAGTTTGACCACAGAAAAGATTAAGTTGATATGGCTAAACATAATATAACATACTAACTATATACATTTAGATTTGGTCTATTTTATTTTTATTATTTTTATTTATCTTTAATATTATTTTATAATATCAACAAGGTCATACCTATGGCAATATGACATGCTGACACACAATACTAGTGTCACCAGATATTACAATAACACTACATATATTTCTATATAGTATATAAATATGTATAGTGTATTGTGTAATGTATATAGGTACTATATAAGTACTAATATGCCTCATTATGTGTAGGTAGGTCATAGGTACCTACACTTATATATACCTAGTCATGTGTCCAACATATTTTGTAGTACTTATAATATATTATTTATATCAAATACTTAATTTGTACATTCTAAATTATTGTAGGTAGCATAGAATTTTGTAATTAAGGTATATATTTAAATTACCTAACTTTAATCTATAATTGTTTATTACACATAGAATGTGAATGATCTCAAGACTACTCATGAACGTAAGATCGACAGAGCATTCAACTGTGGTCTAACGGTTCAACCCTACGTTGCCATTGTGGGGAATCAAGAATCAAATTCAAATGAAACAATTGGCTACTATACAGTAATAAATGATATTTACTATAAACTTGAAACCCCCATTAAAGCATTAGACACATGCTTCAAATCATTTCACGCATTAAATTTGCAATATCCCCAAGAAGCCGAACAAATTTGGTGGTTTATACAGGATTTTTTTTTTAAAATAACAGATGAATCAAAAAAAAAGTTTATAGGAGTACAGTGTTTGATAAAAGATTATTGGAATCAATATAGGAAATTACAACATTTATTGTAATTACTAATTATTGGTGTAATGTAGTAACTTTATACCTACCTAAATTTAAAAAATTTCTATTGTAATATAATAATATAATATAATAGTATCTATAAAATAGATAAGTATATATAAGTATTTAATGTTTAAAAATAATTTAACAAAAACTAACTACTATCTATTAACTATTAAGTATTTAAAGCATGTTTTAGATATTTATATTTATATTTAAATTTTTCTTTCGGTACCTACCGTACCTACCTGGTTTAAACAATATGTAATAGGCACCTGTAATTCAAAGTACCTACCTACTACTATATGCACTATGTAGATTGAAGATATTATAAGATATATTATTATTATACATATTTATTGCCTTCTTATATTTTTAATTTAATACTATAGTATATATATATACCTACCATTAATATTTATTTACAAATAGTTAAACTGTAAAAGTGTTGTTGGTACTTATAATACTTATTCTACCAATTTAGTAGCTAGTAAGCTTAAGTACCTACTTGTTTTTGTTAAATGATAACATTATTTGAATTAAATATACTTTATACCTAATATATACCTAGCTGGTAATTAAATTTGTACAAAAACTTCAAAAATATTTTGTATTGTAATTAAAATTTTTAAAATGGTTAATTGCTTTTTATGTAGTTACGAGGCACAATGCATAAGTCATTTGTTTATACATTTTAATTTATACCACAATTTAAAATCAATCGAAACATTTAATTGTCCATTACAGGATTGTCTTAGAATATTTAATAATATCGATACATATAAAAGACACCTTAAACAGCATGATTTTGATTTTAAATCAAAAACAACAATTAATTCTCAACTAACGCTAAATGATAATACAACAAACGCACCCATGTCTGTTGAAGATACAACAAAATATTTTAATTTAAATTTAAATATTTTAGATGATATCAAACAAAATGATAGTATCCCTCCATTGGATGATTTTAAGAACTTACGATTAAATGCTTTAAGTATGATATGTAAATGGTATAGCGATACAGTTATTCCCAGAAATAAAATTGATATTTTAATTAATGATGTCCAAGATTTTATTGACTCAATTGTGTCGATTTTTTGTTTTAAAATTAATAAATGTATTAATAAATGTTGTGATACTATTGTTAAAGATGAATTATCGGTGGTGCTTAGTGAGATGAAAGTATTATCAGATCCCTTCGTTAATATGAAATCGGAGTACATGCGATTTGAAACCCTCGATGAACTTGGTGTATTAATTCGTCCGAAAGAAATAGTTATTGGGCATAGACTAGGTGACAAATTAATTGATGGTAGGGTTGTAGTAAATCCCGTTGAAGTTAAAATATGTTTGATTCCACTTAGAGATATTTTTAAAAAAGTCCTAGAACACTCAAATTTATTAGATGTAATACTAAGTTATATAGAAAATATGAAATCGAGCAATAAATTCGTTTACAACTTTATGCAGTCCCAACAATGGCGAGAAAAATGTAAAAATCTTCCAAACAAAATTATTTTCCCTTTATTTTTATATTTTGATGATTTTGAGGTTAATAATCCGCTAGGTTCACACGCTGGTAACCAAAAGTTAGGTGCAATTTATGTGTCTATAGCTTGTTTACCTCCTGAATTATCGTCGTCATTAGATAATATTTTTTTGACGTCACTTTTTAAAACTGATGACAAAAAATATTTTGGGAATAATGTAATTTTTAAAGATTTAATTGCAGAGCTAAATTATTTAGAATCTACCGGTATTTTCGTTACAGTTAATAATAAAGTTTACAATATTTTCTTCTCTTTGGGTTTAATTATAGGCGATAACTTGGGGTTACACTCAATATTAGGATTTACGGAAAGTTTTGTGGCAAAATATCCGTGCCGATTTTGTAAAACAATAAAATATGAATGCCATTTGCAAACAAACCAAGTTGATACAAATCTTCGAAACCGCACAAATTATGACGATGATATCCTAAAGAATGACATATCAATGACAGGAATTAAAGAACCATGTGTGTGGAATCAATTGAATTCATTTCATGTAACGGAGAATTACTGTGTTGATATTATGCATGACATGTTAGAGGGGGTGTGTAATTACGATATTGGTTTAATGTTGAAAATTATGGTTTTTGATTTGAAATACTTTTCAATCGATATTTTAAATAATAGAATAGAATTATTTGATTATGGATCAATCGATATCCGAAGTAGACCAACTTTGATATCTGCTGATACTTTAAAAAGTAAAGGTAAAATTAAAATGTCCGCCAGTGAAATGCTTTGTTTTGTAAAGAACTTGGGGTTAATTATTGGCGATTTAGTTCCCCGTAATTCCGAAATTTGGTCAATTTATATTATACTCGACAAAATTTTAAATATTATATTATCTAAGTGGACTAAAACTGAAGATTCATTTCTTCTAAAGGATTTAATCACAGAACACCACACTATGTATTTAAAAATATTTCGTACCAATTTAAAACCTAAACACCATCATATGATTCATTACCCACTAATACTTAACAAATCTGGTCCACTATCATTATTTTGGTCCATGAGGTTTGAAGGTAAACATAGAGAACTCAAAAATACAGCTAATTCTATAACTTCTAGAAAAAATATACAAAAAACTTTATCAATTAAACAACAGTTAAGATTGTCTTACAGATTATTGTCAACTAAAAATAATTATTATACCATTCCGATCGAAATAGGACCAATATTGAAATTATGTCCAGTGGACATAGATTTGTATAATTCATACTCAGGCAATTATGATTTGAATAACAGTGATGTATATTTTGTTTCATGGGTAATCATCAATGGAGTTTCATATAACACCAAAAATATGTCTGTAATTATTAATGTGTGTGATGAAAATAATGATTTGTTACCTTTATTTGGATTGATTAAATGTATTTTTATTATAAAAAATGAACCATTTATTATATATAATTTGTTTGATACTATTAACTATGATGAACACTTTGGTGCATTTTATGTAAAGTTTTCATCTAAATTAGGTCATATCAAAATTAATGAATTAGAAAATATTTTTCCTGTACACCATAAAAGTATTTCTAATGGAAATATATTTATAAAAATGTTATTATAATCATAATATTATACTATTATACTTGTAATTATATATCTATATAAATGTTGTATTATAATTTATATTAAGTTTTCTTGTTGATTATCTACTTATTACTGTAATTGTTTTCTTTTTTTCTATTATAATATTTAAAAGTACAACTTTTTCTATATTATTATTATTATTATTATTATTACACATCCTGCAGTAGGTATTATACATTAACAATGAATATATTATTATTTTTATTATAAATGTTATACCTATACTAAATGTTTTTAAATGAAACTATGTTATTTTAAAATAGGTACTTATCCACACAATTATCATAATATATTATTAAATGTATTCAATTATCAATAAAAAAAATTAAATGTGTATTAAAGCTGTTTTTTGATATTATTTTTTTGTACCTCACTCTTGTTATTAATCCTCCGATTGGTTTGCAATTGATTTAAGTTGTGTACATAATAATTGTATTATTATATAAAGGTAAAAAAATAAACTCATTTAAATGGGAATTACCTACTGGCTACTATAAATAATAGTAAATAGATATTACTAAAAAAAAATATCAAAAAGGAATGAGTACTACTATTTATAGTTGTAGTTATTTCAAATTTTAGTTCAGTGAACTGTTTTTTATAGTAAACACTTATTTATTTTTAGTAATTGGTACTAAGCTTATAGTGGAGATAACAATAAATATTTTTCAAGCGAACTAAATTAAAAAGTATTTAGCACTACAAAAATATAGTAAATTTTACTGCATATTCAGTTCGAATAACTATAATAACTTGACTATAATATTTTAGTAAATCTGACTAATCTTATAGCTATCCCTATAGCAACTATAAAATACAGTCAATCCTACTATTTTTATAGTACAAATAACTGTTTTGTTTTTTCCGTGTGGTAAATTTTTAGCTCAGTTAAAAAACTTAAACATTTAATACAACGTTCACATCAATTGCTTTAATAGCCGAAATGAAAACAAAATTTATCGTAAATCCATAGTAATTTCTTATGAGAGTTTAAAAATGTCATCAAAATCACAAAAATTTGCAAAAAAAAAAAATTATAGTTAAAAATGTATAATATTTTAAATTCAAATAAGAAAATTTTCTCTCATAGTTTGTTACAATTAAGTAGGTATTAACAATATATAGATTATAGGTATTAGATCAACACGTGAGTGTAATGAAGAGAAAAAAAATTCACAACATTAAGGATCTATTCGGATTGGAGTAACTCAAACGACATATTTATTGTATTATAAATTATTATTGTATTATTGTATTATCACAAACTACGAAATTAGGTTAAATTATATTAACAATACACAGTTAACGCAAAACTTCAGCTTTCAAGTAGGTAACCTATGTTCTATAAATAGATGAACCTACACAGAAACAAAACTACGAAGCATTATAAATCAATAACAACAATAGAAACTTTTATATTTCTAATCGATTACAATTTTTTCTTCATATCGCGTACTCCGCGCATGATGTGATTTGTAGGTATTATTTCATTTCCTAAAAAGATTTCTCATCACGATGACACAATAATAATATAATAATAGATTTATACATGTTACATGTTACTTATACTATATAGTATAGGTTTTTACAATTTTACACTGAGTTTGTGAAAGAATCATATTATATTATTATTAAATTCATACTACAAAAAAAATTGCATTGTAGATAAAATATCACAGCCTAGTAGCCTACACGTCAAAAACAGTTTCCTGGAAGGTATTAAACAGATTGTCCTCGCCGTGTCTGTTTGACATAATCTGAAAACTTTTTGCGTTCGTTGTTCAACTTTTTGTCGGTGAGGTCGTCGCAAGCGAGAGATGCTCTCAATTTCGCAGTTGTGTGTTCGAGATCCTAAACAAACAATTTTTATCTTAAAATCGTGTTTCTTTAGTAATATTATTTTGTGATTAATTTCATGATATTAGGGAATAGCATATACATTATAAAACTGTTACTAGGATTTGCCTCTCCTCTCTCGTAATTTGTATCATTACGTAAAATTACAATAACTATGTATATTAAATATTTTAGATTTTGAGCTGAGCGATGAATGTATTGATCTTACAACGATATGTGTTTTATTTAATTTAAATTTGTTGTGTGTATGTACGTACACAATAAGTATTCGAAATAATACTTGGATTTTCAACTTAAGTAAATTTTCTGATGGAAAGTGGATCTAGCTTATGCTTTCGTGAAGTCAAAATTGAAATTTCGAAGTAGAATTGGAATTAACACATCTCTCACAGTGACCCACTTGACACTTATACAACTTTACTGTACAGCAGCTGAGTTGTACCCACTTGTCCACCATTTTAGATTCTGAGTGAAACGATGAATGTATTGATTTTACAATGATGTGTGTTTTTTTATTTTTTTTTTTATTTTTTTATTTTTTTTTGTGTCTGTCATCACGTTTTAGGACAGTAAAAGTGCTTGGATTTTCTTCATCAGTAGCTTTTCTGATAGGAAAGTGAATCTAGTTGGTACTTTGGGGGGTCAAAAGTATAAATTTCCCAGTAGTTTTCACAAGCGCCGGGAAAAACAACATAAAAATTAAGGAAAAACGGGAATTTTTACGCAAAATTGGTTTTCCAAAAAATCGATTTTGGTTTTTGGTGTAACTCTGAAACAAATGAACGTATATACATGAAATTTTCACTGGTTGTTTATATTTGCATTTTCTATACACGATAACATTTTCAAAATATTTTGATTTATTTTGAACTGTTTAGGGACATTTTAATTTTCCATTTTTTTTTAGTTTTTTTTCTAAAAATATCAATAAAATTTTATTTGTTGGTTGCGAAAGCATGAAAATTTAATAGAAGGCTCCTAATATATTGCTTCAAAGGCAGATGAAAAATATTAAAAATCCTTAGTCACAATTTTTTTTTATAAGCATTTAAAGTTCAAAAATTGACAAAATATGGGAAAATCACGAAAATTAGCAAATTATTTTGAGTTAAGAATTCGTAAAAATTTTTCTTTTTAAATCTAAGATTTGAAAATTAAACACAAGATTCCTTATAAGTTTGTCTACCTTTATCAAAAGAAAAATGTTTATAAGAAAGTCAAATTAAATTTTTATGAGCGTTTGAAATTCAAATTTTTACAACATTGAATATTCACTCGATTTCCCATGTAGCGATTTCCTTATTTTGTTGTAATTCAAAAACAAATAACTGTAGATACACCATACAATTTTGAAAATATTTTGACTCTTTTTGAGCTGTTTATGGACATTTACAGCTTTCAATTTTTTTTAGTTTTTTTTTCTATAAATATCAATAAAGTTTTATCTGTTGGGCCAAAAAGTGTAAAAATTTAATACAAGGCTCCTGATATATTGTTATAATATCAGTTGAAAAATATTAAAAATACATATGCACAGTTTTTTTTTATAAGCATTTAAAGATCAAATTTTGACAAAATTTATCAAAATCTCGAAAATTATCAATCATTGTAATTAATAAATTATAAAATGTTCAGTTTTTATAGCTAAGGATTGCAAATTCAACACAAAGGTTCTCGTAAATAGTTCATACTGTAACCAAAAAATCTAAAAAGTATATGAACACAGTTATTTTTTACAGACATTTTAAATTCAAATTTGGACGAAATTACATATTAAAAAACCTAGAATAACTATTTTAGTTATTTTGTTGTGATTGAATAATATTATTCGTGGATACTTGAAACTTCTAAAGTGTACTATTATATATCTATGATAGTATCACGGTTTTTGTTGATGTATAACGCGTTATAAGTACCTAATGGATATTTTGATATGATTAATTTGGAATTTATTATAGGTACCCATTATAGGTAAATTTTTTGTTTAATACCATAGATATGTATATAATACCTATGTCTTATACATAGACTGACATACCGTCTCCACTCAGAATCGTTTTTCTTATACAATGATATTATATCGTTGAATTCAAATTTAATATCATCCATTATACAGTAACCCCCTTGTAACCTACTGTACAGCAGAGCGACACCCACTTGCCCACCTTTTTTTCTTTTATAGTCACCACAAATAGAGTAACAAATTCGAATACGTTTATAATTTTTTAAAATAGAGATACACTAAAAACTAATATTACTTTAATTAAAAATATATTTTTTAGATTCTGAGCGGAGCGATGAATGTATTGGTTTTACAATGATGTATGTTTTTATATTTTTATTTATATTTTTATTTATATTTTTGTGTCTGTCATCACGTTTTGGGACAGTAAAAGTGCTTCGATTTTCTTCAATAGTACCTTTTCTGATAGGAAAGTGAATCTAGTTGGTACTTTGGGGGGTCAAAAGTAAACATTTTCCAGTAGTTTTCACAAGCGCCGGGAAAAACAACATAAAAATTAAGGAAAAACGGGAATTTTTACGCAAAATCGATTTTCCAAAAAATCGAATTTGGTTTTTGGTGTAACTTTAAAACAAATGACCGTAGATACATGAAATTTTCACTGGTTGTTTATATTTGCATTTTCTATACACGATAACATTTTCAAAATATTTTGATTTATTTTGATCTGTTTAGGGACATTTTCATTTTTCATTTTTTTTAGTTTTTTTTCTAGAAATATCAATAAAATTTTATTTGTTGGTTGCGAAAGCTTGAAAATTTAATAGAAGGCTCCTAATATGTTGTTTCAAAGGCAGATGAAAAATATTAAAAATCCTTAGTCACAATTTTTTTTTATAAGCATTTAAAGTTCAAAAATTTACAAAATATGGAAAAATCACGAAAATTAGCAAATTATTTTGAGTTAAGAATTCGTAAAAATTTTTCTTTTTAAATCTAAGATTTGAAAATGAAACACAAGATTCCTTATAAGATTATCTACCTTTATCAATAAAAAAATCTCTACCGGACAGTCAAGTTAAATTTTTATGAGCGTTTGAAATTAAAATTTTTACAACATTGGATATTCACTCGATTTCTCATGTAGCGATTTCCTTATTTTGTTGTAATTCAAAAACGAACAACTGTAGATACATGAAAATTTCACTGAATGTTTAAATTAGCATTTTCTATACACCATACAATTTTGAAAATATTTTGACTCTTTTTGAGCTGTTTAGGGACATTTTCAGTTTTCAATTTTTTTAGTTTTTTTTTTATAATTGTCAATAAAATTTTATTTGGTGGGCCAAAAAGTCTGAAAATTGAATACAACCTTTCTTATATATTGTTACAATATCAGTTGAAAAATTTTAAAAATACATAAGCACGATTTTTTTTTATAAGCATTTAAAGTTGGAATTTTGACAAAATTTATCAAAATCTCGAAAATAATCAATCGTTGGAATTAAAAAATTATAAAATGTTCAGTTTTTATAACTAAGAGTTGAAAATTTAAAACAAAGATTCTCTTAAATAATTCATACTGTAACCAAAAAATCTAAAAAATATATAAACACACTTATTTTTTACAGACATTTTAATTTCAAATTTGGACGAAATTACATATTAAAAAACCTAGAATAACTATTTTAGTTATTTTGTTGTGATTGAATAATATTATTCGTGGGTACTTGAAACTTCTAAAGTGTACTATTATATATCTATGATAGTATCACGGTTTTTGTTGATGTATAACGCGTTATAAGTATCTAATGGATATTGTGATATGATTAATTTGGAATTTATTATAGGTACCTATTATAGGTCAATTTTTAATTTAATACCATAGATATGTATATTATATGCCTTATACATAGACTGACATACCATCACCGCTCAGAATCGTTTTTGTCTTATACAATGATATTATATCATTGAATTCAAATTTAATACCATCCATTATACAGTGACCCACTTGTAACCTACTGTACAGCAGAGCGACACCCACTTGCCCACCTTTTTTTTTTTGATCATACCTAAATATTACAATTTATAACTATATAAGTTACAAAGTAAATGAAAAAACAATAAATTATTGAACGTGGACATGCGGTATTGGTATATAACTATTATAAGATTATAATTTGTAAGTACTTATGCCATGCTGTAGCCTGTAGGTACCTTTAAGTCATATCGATTTTACCAAAATTGCATGCAAAGATATAATTAAGAAATCTAATATCAATTACATATAGGTACTGGGTGGCTATTATACAAATTAATATTGAATGGACACGCTTCCAGAAAGCTGTAGGCTACGTTATTGAAAATTGTATTTCTATGTACCTCAAAATAAAAATGGTGTTTAACATTAAACTTGAATTTATAACCATCTACCTATTTATTATTTATTTATTTAAATTAATATCGACAGATTAATGGGCCTCACTGAGAAAAAACTCGTGTGGAGGCCCATGGGTCTATATTATATGCTTCCTATGTTAAAATACACATGTTCGTTTTTATGGAAATTTTTAGTACGACGTACATACGGACTACGAATATGATTATAATTCTTCTTTTTATATAGTTTGATTTATTTAATAATTTGTAAGTTTGTCCAACAAGTAATTATTCAAATGTAATGTTAATATCCGTTAGGTTCTATAAGTTGTACTAAGGCAGTGACTAGTGAGGTATCTGTATAAGTGATTAATGTTATCAACAATATTGAGAAGTAATAAGTATACCTATACCGAAACCACAGAATATTAACGAAAATATTACGAGTTGGTTGGGTTTATATACAGGGTGATTCTTTTATCATTGAACACTCATTATTTCAAAAAGTATTAATGTTTAAGAAAATATTTTTTTTGCATAGTTTCAAGTTGTTAAAAAACAATATTTTTATTAAAAAATTATATTTTTAAATATTTTTTATCCTTTTAATTTTTTAAGTTTTTTACTTTTTTGAATGACAACATGTAATTTTAATTTGATATTCAAAAACAGAATATTTTTCTGAGTATTTCGATACATAAAAATTGAATTTAGGGCAATTAGTTTATGAGTTATAAGTATTTAAAGTTTAGATGAGCGGTGTAGAGTGGTACGGGGTTACCCCGCGAAATGTTTGTCCACTACTCCGCTCATCTAAACTTTAAATACTTATAACTCATAAACTAATTGCCCTAAATTCAATTTTTATGTATCGAAATACTCAGAAAAATATTCTGTTTTTGAATATCAAATTAAAATTACATGTTGTCATTCAAAAAAGTAAAAAACTTAAAAAATTAAAAGGATAAAAAATATTTAAAAATATAATTGTTTAATAAAAATATTGTTTTTTTAACAACTTGAAACTATGTAAAAAAATATTTTCTTAAACATTAATATTTTTTGAAATAATGAGTGTTCAATGATAAAAATATCACCCTGTATAATAATATAGTGTTACGCAGTTATCTTTTACCCACTTTTAAAAACGTTTCGTTCCTTTTTTTTGCGATTTTCTTTTGTTTCTCCATCTGTTCTCGGCGGATTTTAAAAAAGTCTCCTTCTTCCACCACCGCCGTTTTGCGCCTGTTCAATCTGTGTGGATAAAAATTATTGTTTTAATGTATTTAATATCGTGAACACGATATGATTTACTAAAATATAGGCAGTAGGCAGAAGGCACTAAGAGTATATCAAGTGAAACGTTTTCACACTACAAATTTCATTCAGTCGATGAAATATTTAAAGGATTAAACTATTTAAAGATTATATTTTGAATAATGTACCTATGTATCATCTATGTATAGGTACTCAGTTTTGTAATAAAAACGTCATTAAATTCTTTTTCGTTTCTAAATCGGTCATCTACGACATAATAATATATGATACATGAAACGTATACAATATAAACAATATTTAATAACATTAATAAATATATTTGTGTACCTATCACATAATACGAGTATAATAATATGGTTTGTATAATATAGGTACTCACATCTCTTTTAGTTGGTTTTCCAAGTCGATTTCTCTGTCTATGTAGCCACGTAATACTTGCCTGGCGATATCTTTTTCCGACATAATAATATTATTATATCCGCTGACCGGTCGCAAAAAAATAATAACGCACGTTTGAACGTAACGAACGCGATTCGTGAAATGCCATACGACAATATAATCGACGATTTGTTTAGGTCACATACTATAGTTAGTTGCTAAGGAGGGTATATCCAAGGACGCCAGTATTGCGAGGGTGTCCTGCACATATAATAGTGTATTATTAGTCATATTATATCGTTTAATTCCTATAATGATACATACCCAGGTCGGGCCAGGTACATGTTATATCATCTGCTAACCTCAAAGTTGGTCGCGGTCATCGGGTAATTGAAACTTCAAACACCGGGCGGCATTTTTATTAGCCTCAAGTATATTATTATATCGTTTTTTTTTTTATTAATTCGTTTTTAGAATCGCTCCGAACATTAATGAGTCAATCGAAAGAGAAAAAATATATACCTAAGCGTATGCCCCTGTTGCAGATGGCGCAGAAAAAGTATATTGATTTCATATGCAGGTACCTATATTTATACAATAATATGCACCTACTATCGATAAAAAATATAATATATAAATAAATAATATATTATGAATACATTTATATTTCTCTCCAAAAATAAACATAATTTTTATTTAAAATGTCATGCATATTTCGGAATCACCTCACTGGCCCTTGAGACTTCGAGATACTGAGGTTCCACTGTTACTTCTATTATACCTTTAGTGTCCTTTACTATAATATAAATATTAGAGTTCTGATGTTGTGGACGTTTAATAATATTCTCTTCGTCCAATAATAATATTATAATAGTAGTTATAGCTATCACACTTATTAGTTATTAGCTATAAATTCGATTCTCTCAAAGTAGATAAAATGTACTTGTGATACTTTGAGAAAATCGAATTTATATTTATTATACATGACATTTGAATTGGCTTTTCGTTGTTGTAATATGTTTTAACTATTTACAAAAATGTTCTTTAAAGTTTAAATTATAATTTATAAAGCATGTTGAAGAAATGAAATATTCTGGAAATAAACTAATAAACTATAATAGAACTTGAATTAATAATGTCTGTGATTTTACAAGGTGGAGAATTTTCAATACAAAAACTTCCACTCAATTTACATCAGAGAACATAAAATACCAGCTATACGCCTATACTTTTCACCTGTTGTTGTTTGTATTTGTCATCGAATAAAGTTTTTGAACTACAAAGTGTAGTGTGTTGTGTGTACAATAATACTTTGTCATATCACAGACGTTGATGTGTATTTATTCTGTAAAATATGATTGAGAACTGAATTTTTGGTAACACGATTGAGAACGCTCGATATTTTATTTTTTTTCCAACGTTGCTAAATTGAATTGAATGATAATTTGAGCACGATAATTTGTTGATATTGAATTAGCAATATATTATGTTAGTTGTTATTAAAATTCTAACTGAAACTCAAGCAGAAACAATATTGAAAGTAGCTACGATAGTTAGAGTCAAGGTACTAAGAATAATATGTCTATGCCCTATGGCAATAGAGCCAATAGGTTAAGTAGATTTGGGGTCTTAGATGATCTAAAAATGTTATTACTATTTACTAATTACTAATGATCTATCAATATAAATAATTTGTAAAAATGATTGAAGTATAACGAATACTACCTATACATCTGATATTACATATAGCTTATATTTTTGTAAAACCATATTTAAGGATTATTATCCATAGTATGAATATTTTAATTGTTTTAACAATTATTAATTGATGACTTTTTTCAAGAATAATTATTTTATGCAAACGGGCATGAATCTTTCAATAGCCAAATAATCGATATGGCAACGTTGCACATAAATTTGTTCCAAATCGTATTCTTTTTTGGATTTTTTTTAGGTCAGCGGTAAGTTCTTTGTTAATTTTAAGTGTTCTCAATCGTTCGACCAAAAAGGTATAACGTTCTCAATCGTTTGATAGCCTATTTATTTGAAAATACAAACATTTTACAGGTAAAATATTATAATAATAATTGTATAAGAACAAATTACAATTATACATAATTCATGTACATATTTAATGTAAGTATTTATTGTTATTGTCCCAGTCCACTATTAATTTAACGACAGCAGTACGTTGAGCATTTAATCAGTAATCACTAATCTTTATAGTTTATAGCGCTAATATTCCATTCCAATATGTGCCTTCTTTTCGAATATATTTTTTCAACTGTTTTTTCAGTTCAATAAAATGTCGACATCGCAAACAGTTTTCCGCCATATTTTAAATATTATAAATTTATTTTTTCATATTTTAGGTACATTTCTTTTGGTACAAATTAATAACAACATAGGTACAATGGTTGTTTTTGAATTTTGATCAATACTTATTAACATTTTTTTTACATATTTCACACTTTTTCATTCATATTTTACAATTTTTTATGGATATTATTTAGATGTATATTTTTCCTTGTTTAGCTCCTGTAACTTCGGAGCCCTATACTACCTACCTATACATAAACATAATGCACAGTACACACTACACACGCCACTTGACACCTGCAGCTGTTAACATCAGTCATCACACTAAACTTTATAACATTATAAAATATATTATATTACACGTACGTGTATATGCATTGTATTTATTGCATAATATAGTAGGTACCTAGTTATAATGTACTCGTGCGTATAATAAAATTATAATTTTTAATTGTTTTTACGGTTTTGTAGAAATAATGGTCAATAGGTACTAGGTACACAATAATCATTTAGATTTAAATAACATATTAATATGGGCTTCATCGTTGGGTTCACTTATTAATTATTATTATGAAGATGTCTACGATGCGTTTTTGTCATTCATCTGTTCTCCTGCAGCTGCAGCAGAAGTAAATATGCTTTCAGAAAATATTTAGTCAGTTCTCCAAAACTTAACAGGACCAACCAGCCAATCGGGCACCAAGAAATTTCACCGTCTTCATTACAGACCAAAATTGCTTTTGAAATAATTTGTATGTATTTTTTTTATGTACAATTTAAAATATTTTTAATTTGTATAGTTTTATAAATTGTTCGAGCTGGTATAGTTTTACAGCCTTGACGAACACAGTTTTCACAATACCTACTACAATAATGTAAACAAAAACTGAACTCGAGAACATGTGGTTGTGTGTTTGTTTATTGATTCACGCGCAAATAAAATTAAATTTATACTTAATACAGTTAAGTCTTAGTAAATCGAAAACCTCGATAACTCAAGTTTTATTCTCACCCCTTGAAGTATATTACACGAAGTTGTTTTTGAGGTATAATATTCCTAACTGGAAAAATACATAAGTCGAATCTATTTTTATTCCCATTGAGATTCGAGTCATTTGCGAGAAACGAATGTATACCTATAGTTATTTTTTCACCTGCAATACGAATAAGTATAATATAATGTATATATACTAACTCTTTCTCCAAGGAAATAATTATTGTTAGGTATGTTATATAATTATATCTCTGTGATTTTAATTTCTGAAATACGCGATTTATTGAATAGGTAAAGTTAAATTATGAAATCTATACCTATGCCTATATTTAGATACAGTTTACATTATACTATGTTGTATACTACAGTACTAGAAATATTTAAGTTAATGGAAGGTTAGGTTACCTACCATGGAAGGGGAATAAATGATAGAGATATCTCCACCCTTGCCTCTTTTTTTCTAGTTCCAGAGATTCTGCTTTATTTGGAAATTATAGATTCTAAATTATGTCTTCGTTAGATAGGTAATTAAAACTAAGCATAAATCAGTATATTAATTATTAATTACATATGTACCTAATAGTATTCCATTTCTTGATTAAAAAAAACCATTACAAATTTCAAAACACAATTACTAAAATAAAATTCATAATCAAAAATAACAATTGTATAGATATAGGTATATTTATTGAATTATTAAATTTATTAAATTAATAGTTTCTGAATTATCATATAAATATATTATTTTAAATTTTAACTAGTTAACAAAATCGAGATATGATCACAATTTAGTTTATGTTACCAAAATTAATTGAAGATAAAGAATTTTACTCTAATTTTATTCGAAATCCTACTGAATAACGGAAATGCAAAGCTAAATTTTTAAAATTTAATTTTACCCGTTGGAAATATTAAGATTTAAATATAACATTATATTAATGATAACATTTTAATTTATTATTTATAAATGTTATTTTCAAAACATTAACGGATTTGCAATATGTATTAAAAAAAAATGTTTGTTGCTGTTTTTATATGATAAAACATATTATAGGTGATATCAAGAATGTAATAACTTTATTTTCGTATTCGTGTAAAAGGAGTTGTTAACAATTTTAATATAGAAGCCATAGTAGACGCTACCTTTATATAATAGATCTTGAGTAGGTTAGGTTAGGGTATATTTCTTATATTTTCGTGTCCCGACACTCGATTCTGACAAAAATAATATGTCTCTAAAATATTTAACTAAAACGCGAGAGATAACTAATTTGGAAAGACAAAATCCGTTTTATATAATGTTAATTACTCCTACTCAAATCAGTCAAATCTAGTTTCCCTTTAGGTGTACGTATAACTATTAATTGAAGGGTTCAGCACAACAGTGGTCTATGCCATGCAATTTTATTTTAAATTTATAAGAGGTAATGAGATAATTTAAAAATATTTTAATTAGATATTGGCCTTTCTTTGTTTTTTTTTTTTAAATTTTACACTAGATGGTCCTCAGGCCTCAATTATTATAACATGCGTGATTGCAACCAGAATATTATTGTATGTTATGGTATCTTTAATTATTATTTAAGATTATTTAAAACTCATGTGTTTTTGTTACATTTCAAAATATTTAGCTATGGAATATTAATTATTTTATTAAAACTTTTCCCTCGACTGTGAATTCCTAGCTGCGATACAATAATACGTGTGTTTATGGGAGTCAACGCGTATCCGTGCAGCTCTATTACAAATTTTATATACATGTCGGTATATA